TTGTAGGTGTTTCTTAAACTTGACATTTTATCTTATGAACTAATTAAACGATGCAATATTAACAAAATTCATAAAAATTTCTTTGAATCATGTTCAGGAGATGAAATATAGAGAAAAAAAAATAGAGTCCCCCAAAAAATTGTTTGTTGATTACAATGTGCATGTTTTAAACCAGGAATCTGAGATAGAAGCATTGTCTAAATTTTCAAGATTTATTTTGCTACATAAAGCCAATCCTGACACTAAGAAATGTTATTTTTGTATTACTCTTCCTGAATTTATTTTTGCTCTTTCACTTATCTGAGCATAAAAATGCTTTTTATTTAGGAACATTTTTATCATTTTTATGACTTGCAGGTGAACCACTACTCAAGTCATATAAAAACAAATTTGATTTGTAAACCAGCCAAGATATCTAAAAGGAGATATTTTTAATGAAAAGGAAAAATCTTTTTTTTTTTTATTAGTAATTAGTTTGTTCGTGCTGTCAAAAAAGGACATCATGTTTTGTTAAGATCATACTACTATTAGAAGATTTGCATATGGGAGTCTTAAAATATATTTTTTTCCAATTATTATTATTACATTTTGACTAGATTTTTTTTTTTTTTTTACTTTGGAACAATCTACCATTATAACAAAACACTGCCACCTACCTTCACTAGTAAAAAGGAGATAAATCTAAAATAGTAATTATTTGGTAGCTATATCCTTTTAAGGAAAAAAGTTACAGACAGGCAATAATATAAAAATATCCATGGTGTATTATATATATATATATATATATATACTCATTGAGGTGCAGGTTATATTGTGTTTGAGATTTAAGTTTCATGCTCCTACAATCTTCAGGTAACTACGTAAAATGGGGCATGTTTTTACTCTGTCTGGATAGCCTAGGCATTGAGCACTTTAATTTACAGCTTAGGTAGTCTGTTGGTCACACCAAGATTTTTATTTTTTATATATATATATATATATATATATATATATATATATATATATACACATTGGGGAAATTCTATGACAAAGTGGAAAAAGTTTACTTGAACCGCATTTCATCTATCAGGACTTCATCGGACTAAATTTGTTATGTTAGTACATTTTTGTCTTAGTGAATTGTTTTCTCCTTTGACATAAAAATGGTGATCTGCTCAAAGGAGAAAACAATTCACTACAATGAAAATGTTTAGAGAGTGTCTTAATTGCAAGGTCATCCACAGTAAATCTGCACTCTGGCTTTTGCAACATTTCACCATTCCTGGCAAAACTTCTATTATCACAGTAATGGATATCTAATAACAAAAGTGATGGGAACAAAAAGAAAAATAATCTAAAGGAAATCAGCTAGATTTAAAAAAAAAAATTTTAATTTAAAATTCCAAGCATCCCTTGTTTGTGTACATGTGTAGTCACACCAACATAACAAATTTAGTCCAATGAAATCCTAAATCAAATATATATATATATATATATATATATATATATTTTTTTTTTTTGATTGAATGTGATGAACAAGGAAAATTATATCAGTCTTTTATTCTGTTTTTATAATATTCTCAGATTTTTTTCTTTTATCAAAACTAAAAGAGTATAGAAACTGTCCCTAGGGATTATTGTCCAAAGCACTTTAACACAATTCATAAGCCATATTGATGTACCTTTAGATATTTCATCGTGTTTCAAAGAAGGTAAGATTGAGTCTTGGCTTAAACTGTTTTATATAAAAGTGCTTCAATTATCTTTAAACATCTTACAATCATATTTTCTTAGAATGACATTCTTATCTTGAAGGTTTTTTTTTTTTTTTTTTGAGTTGTGTATGAGTGTTTAAGTGCTTCTTTATCAAAGTAAGATCACTTAAGGAGTTTGCCAGTCCAAGCAGTCATTGGCCAGTCACCAGATCAATGGCTTTACAAGTGGGCAGAGGAACTTCTCAAAAGAGGGACAGGGTAATTTGAACATCCCCGGTGCAAAAAGAAACTAGCAAACTGTTAGTTCCAATCTGTATTGGAATGATTGCAAAATACTTTCCCCTCCCTAATTTATAGGCAAAAACCACACAGATGCATGCTGGGATTTCTTAGATATCTTAGTAAGATAGAGACCATTGGCTGGCCAATGTAAGTCACATTCAATGAAACATCTATAAAAGAAAAGTTGCTGCTCAAAAATACAATGTCTATGATACATACATATTTTGAATTATTTTTTATTCAGTTTTTCTAGTGTCCTTTCTTTGATGAAAAGAGTGCAGAAACTGTCCCTAGTGATTATTGTCCCAAGCACTTTTGGCCTTTTCATTAACCATTTTCAAGAGTTTGTTGTTTGTATATTTTTCTTGTGTAGAAGTAGTAGCAATTCTAAGATGTGCTGGATGTGGAGGGGGTAGTAATTCCATGTTGAGGGTGTCTTTAAAAGATTGCTGAGTTTTTCCTGTTTTCAAATAGGATAGCATAGAAGAGACTTGGTTAAAACTGTTTTATAGATGCACACACATATGTATGCATTTATATATATATACATGTGTGTTTATAATCTAGCAGTTCAAAAACCTTTTGTATCTTATATGAATAGGCAAAAATATTCTTAAACTGTACTTGACAGTTTCATTAGCAAGCTATTCTTGGGAATGTCAGTTGAGCTTAAAGTTTTGATCAATTTAACTTTACTTCTGATGAAAACATGTTGACACATTTGAAACATCATGACTGATAGCCAAGGAATCCACAAATCACTGGACATACCCTAATAACCCATCTAACATCCGAGATTGATCAGATGTGAATGAAAATACAAATATCTTTCTTCAAATACTGATTCCTATCAATAAGAAACCTACAATTTCTCTCACCAAATCATGACCAAGAATAAGAGAGAATTTAATCAAAGATACACTTTTTTTTTATCTTTGGTAAAGAAATTTGAGGAGTAAGATGTTGCTGATTGCATAAAGCTAAAAACATGCAACTACACTTCCTTGAATTTTAAGAATCAGATTGAATTCCATTAAAAGAATCCAGTGAGAAGTGTATTGCCTTTAAACTTCACACAAACCTCATGGATCTGTTGGGAGATGGATTAGAAATGGAATTTATGAGTGTAATCGATGAGTAATTTGTCCAAGTGGACATAAAAACAAAACGTAAACCTTATAGAATTATTTGGACAGGGCAATCACAAATCCTATGTAAAATGCCAGGAGATGGAATTGTATATTTTCTGTTCCTTGTATAAAAGGCAGAATCCTATTATTTTAGGATTAAGTCAGTAATCTAAGAACATTAGATATAGTATAAGCATGAATATGTATTAATATCAATATCCAATCTCTCTCACTTCATGCATCACTGTATATATATATATATATATATATATATATAATAAAAAGAAATAGGTTATATATGTTTGATACTATTATACATCCTACAAACACACACACATATATATATATATTTTTTTTTTTCTATGCACTGGCCTCTGTGTTTGTACATACAAACTCATATCACCTGTATATATATATATATATATATATATATATATATATATATATATATATATATGATAGACAACAAATAGGAAATGTTTATCAATCAAACATGTTTTGAGATATCTCAGTCTCTGATGAAGATTTAATAAAAGTGAAAAATGTTAGATTGATAAACATTTCCTATTTGTTCTTTATCTTATATATATATATATATATATATATATATATATATATATATATATGTGTGTGTGTGTGTGTGCACACATACACACTCACATGAAGGATATGATAAGGTAAGGAATAAATAGGAAACTTATTATTTTTTCAGATTACAATCTATATTTGATCCCAACTCCTATATGTTTTATCTATGCGCAAAACTCTCTGTATATAGATGCACACACATATCACCTTTATATACATATATATATATAAGTTGGGATCAAATGATTGATAAATTTTTATATATCATGAATAATTTTGGGGGAAAGATGTATGACTTTTACACTTTGATACACACACACACACACACACACATATATATATATATATATATATATATATATATATATATAATCTTTTCTATTTATAATGAAATTTAAGTGATCAATTTCTTTTATACACAAATCACTAATAGTATCCATGATGCATAGACAAATTTATATCTTGAATAATAGTTCAGTAGGTAGAGCATGAAGTTGGTCCTGAATTAAATGTTTTTTTCATTTGGTGGGGTTGTCCTGACAACTCAGTCTGTAAGTAACCGTTTTGTGGGAGACATATTGAAGACGTGTGGAGAATGGATGCAGGCTTTCTATCTTTCTTTCATTGACCATTACCAACACAGAAGTAATTGCTCTCCAAACTTGCAGTGTGAGGTTAAAGTAGCTGGTCATTATATAGTAAATTACCGGAACATTCTTTCCAGATGATGTATCCATCTGCCTTTAGGTAAATGTTCATGTAATTTAGTGTATAATGACCAAATAACCCCACTTTCCTGTAGAGAGGAAAGTGGTCAAATTAGGAGGAATTAGTGATACTCACCTTGTGCTGGTTTGTGAGCTATGGAAGATTGAAAGCAGTTAAGAATGTAAGATTTCTTTGTTTTGTATTTTTTTTAACTGTTACCAACAATAGTATTGCACAGAAAGAAATGAAGGTTAGACAAAAATTAAAAAATAGGATAAACAATAAAATAAAAAAGACAAAGAGTTTATTGAAAGAAAGAAGCAAAAATTATTTTTGGTTAAGAAAAGTATAAAAAATACAAAAAAAAAAAACACAGTAGAAATAATATAAAAACAAAGAATGACAAAGAAGAGTAAGAACGGCTTGTACAAAGAAAGGGTGAAGTAAAATACAGGATAAAGCAAAAAGTTTTGAATAAAAGAGAAAAAAGAAATTATAGGTAGCAAATTGAAAACAAAAAATGTAAAGAAATACAGTATGAGTAAAAATACGATGCAAAAAAATGCAGTGAAGCAAAAGGGAGAGTAAGAATGATTTCTCAAAAAAATGGCCGCCATAAATTTTGAATAAAAGAAACATTTGGAATAAAAATAAAAAAAAGAGGAAGAAATATATTTAACATAGAGAAAATGGTAAAAAACGAAAATGAGTAAAAGAAATAGAAAGAAAGAAAAAAAGAAGAAGAATATGAATAAAAAATTGATAGAAAAAAGTTATAAAGAACACAATATAAGTAAAAAGAAAAAGAATGACAAAAAGAAAGTGTAAGCACAGTTTGTATGAAGAAAGCCTAAAATAAAATTTCAGAAGAAAAAGTCAAGTTTTAGTTTCAAAAAAGAGGAATGAATATATTTAGCACAGAGAAAAGGCAGAGAGTAAAAAGAGACATATAGAAAGAAAAAAAGGGAATGAATATATTTAGCATAGAGAAAAGGGAGAGAGAAAAAAGAGAGAAAATAAGTAAAAAGAAACAGAAAGAAAGAAAAGCAGAGAAAAAAGAGAAAATGATTAAAAAGAAACAAAAAGAAACAAGAATATATTTAGCATAGAGAAAAGGGAGAGAAAAAAGAGAGATTAAGTAAAAAGAAACAGAGAGAAAGAAAAAAGAGGAATGAATATATTTAGCATAGAGAAAAAAAGAGAAAATGAGTAAAAAGAAACAGAAAGAAAGAAATAAAAATGGAAGAATATATTTAGCATAGAGAAAAAGGAGAGAATGACTAAGAAGAAACAGAAAGAAAGAAAAGGAAGAGTATATTTAGCATAAAGAAAAGGGAGAGAAAATGAGTAAATAGATACAGAATGAAAAAAAAAATAATAATATATTTAGTGGGAAGAAAAAAGAGAAAATGAGTAATCAGAGAGAAAGAAAAAAAGATTATATTTTACATAGAGAAAACAGAAAGAATCTGTAAAAAGAAACAGAAAAAAGAAAAGGAAGAGTATATTTAGCATAGAGAAAACGGATAGAATCTGTAAAAAGAAACAGAAAAAAAGAAAAGGAAGAGTATATTTAGTATAGAGAAAACAGAGAGAATCTGTAAAAAGAAACAGAAAGGAAAAAGAGGAATGAATATATTTAGTACAGAGAAAAGGATGAGAGTAAAAGAAAGAAAGAAAAAAGAGGAATTAATATATTTAGGAAAGCGAAAAGGGAGAGAAATAAAAGAAAAAATGAGTAAAAAAAAAGAAAAAAAGGGAGAATATATTTAGCATAGAGAAAAGGAAGAGAAAATGAGTAAAAAGAAAGATAAAAAGAAAGGATATGAAAAGAATCTCAGATGAACAGAAAGAGACAAATAATAAGATGACAAAAAGAGCTAAGAATAAATCCAAAGAAAGAAAGGGACAAAGAAGTAAATATTAAAAACATAGAAATAAATCCAAAACAAAAAAAAGTAAGACAAAAGAAAGAAGTAAATTTTAGTGTTGATATCCTTCTGGATTCATTTTTCTGGCATGCACTGAGAGAAGATCACTCTTTCTTAAAGCATTCTAGTCATACATATTTGTCTTCTTAATTCTCTCAGCAAGGGTCCGACATAAGATTTCCTTTGGTCTACCCACTCCTTGTGTATTAATAGGCTTCCAGGAAATGAAATGTTGGTGTCCTTTCATATTAATTCTCAAGGTATATCCTAAATAGAACAGACTTTTTTTTTCCATAAATTGTACTGATTATAACATTGTTATTTATTTAATTCTCCAATTCCTTCATGGTTTAAAGATATTCTATAGTAATTTCCTTGTTGTTTCCCCCAAAATAAATCTGAACTTTTGTCTGCTGCTTTGAAAAGTTAAAGAAGAATATCCAGTCAGCAATGTGGTATTCTGGAAGAGCATGAGAACAATGTTGCCTTGATTATAAATCCGTTTGTCTGCTATTTTCATTTTGGTAGAAAGAGTGTCAAAAATATTTCAGTGGATTGAAATAGTTTTAAGGAACATTACTTTAAAAAAAAATATTAAGTGTATAGAAACATTGTGTTTCTTTAGTAGTTTCATATTTAGGAAAAGAAAGAACAAAGGAAAGAGTGAGAGAAAAAGAAAGAAAAAGATACTAATGTATAAAAGAAAAAGAGACATGTACAGAACTGGAGGAGTGAAAAGCAAATGAATGAGTAGAAAAGAAAAAAGGGAATGAGGAATAAAAACTGTATAAAAATAAAGAAAAAAAGAAACTTGAAAGAAAAGTACAAAAAAAGAAAAAGATGAAATAAAGGTGGGAAGTAAAAGACTATATAAAATATATAGAAATGTAATAAAGAAAATTAAAGAAAACTTGAAAGAAAAGAAAGAAAAATGTAAAAGAAAGAGAAATAAAGGTGGAAAGTAGAAAAGACTGTACAAAATAGAAATGGTACAGTGTAACCCGGATATAAGAGAGTTGTCAGGACCAGAGAAGAAGTCTCTTATATCCGGGTTTCTCTTATATCCGGGTTTCTCTTATATCCGGGTTTGGTCTATTTTATATACATTAACACAGGCTCTAATTTGGAACCAGAGAAAATCTCTCTTATATCCGGGTTACACTGTAATAGAGAAAATTTAAAAGAAGACATGAAAGAAGGAAAAAGAGAGGAAAATAAAAGTGAAAATTAGAAAAAAAAAACTGTATAAAATATATAGAATGGTAATAGAGAAAATGAAAGCAAACTTTAAGAAAAAAGAAAACGATAAAAGGAGGGGAAATAAAAAGAGTAATTATAAAAAATTCTACAAAATATACAGAATGGTAATAGAGAAAATTAAAGGAAACTTTAAGAAAGAAATGGAAAAAGATGGAAAAAAGGAGATAAAAATTGAAAGTAAAAAAAAACTATTAAATATATAAAATGGTAATAGAGAAAATTATAGAAGTCTTTAAGAAAGAAAGAAAAGGAAAAAGAAAGAAAACATGAAAAAAAGGGAAATTTGGAGAAAAATCTGAATATCTCCAAAGAAAAATTAAGAGCCAAGAAAATAATTTATGAAAGAAGGAGATTTGAAGTATAAAAGCAGTCCGAGAAAAAGTGAAGTTGAATTATTGAAAACATAAATCTGAAATTGCTTCAAGTCTAAGACACTGACATCCTCTTTTCATTTGACATTTTTAGATTTACTGCTTCAGAAAAAAAAAACAAAATTCATTTTTATTAGTTTATTAAAGCTATAAACATTTGTCCAGTACAATTTTCCTCTATGATTTTTCTTTCCAAACTGCATTTGCTTCATTTCTGTTTATTTTTGCCATTTGGATCTGCCAAAGAAAAGCATAAAACTATAAATGCTAAGTTCATTTGTATTGGCATTAATATTTAGCCAAATGTACAACTAGCTATGACTGGTTAGTAAAATGGTTATGAAAATATTAGCCATTTTCTTATAAAGAAACATTTGGCATTCATTGACCAATCTATCAGTGCCACTGTGAAATAAAATTTATAAAATATTTCTCTTAAAACAATTTTTCAGGAAAATAGGTTTCTCAAGTCCAGTAGCTGTTATCACTCTTTTATTATTGATGTGTGCTTCCTTCCAAACCTTTTGATTGAAACAATATGGAACATCAACATCTTGATTATATAATTTCCTGTCTTTGTAGCTCTTAATAAATTGTGTTCTTTTCGTTATCTCTCCTAAACATTGTTCGGTCATCCATTTATTCAAGCTTACTAGGTAGGTTATGTGTTGTTTTCCTCTATCCTTCTTGCATTCAATCTGTCCTGTGAGTATCAAATTTTCCAAGTCATCTTTCCTCACTATATGCCCTAGAAATTTAAACTATCTTTTTCTGATGTTAAGTATAAGTGCCCTTTTTGTTTCCATTTTCTCTAAAACTTTGTTGTTACTCACTTTTTTAGCCCATGGTATTCTTAGCATCCTTCTGTAGATTCACAGTTTCTTCTTCATCTTTCATGTGATTGTCCAGCATTCACTGCCATATAGGGGGACTAATATTACATAACAGTTCAGTACTCTTTTCTTTGTTTCTAATAAAATTTTCCTGTTTCTTAATACTTTGCTTTGCTTCTGGAAGGCACCTTTCAATATCCCAATGCACCTTTGGATATCAGTGTCACATTTTCTGTACTCTTAAAACACTTTCCAGATATTTAAATTATTGTACTTGTTTGATTTTGTTATCTCCAATAAGTAATTTGCATGTTGGATTGTTCCTTTTGCTAACAACCATGCAATCTATCTTCTTGCAATTGATGTTTAGTCCTTTTTTTTCTTGCTTTTCTTCATTACCTTTTGTAGGAGTTCTTGCAGTTTACTTTATGTGTCTGTATCATCTGCATATCTTATAAATCCTGGTAGGACTTAACCAAAGAAAAGTGGTGAACTGCTATGTGATATCAATCCTCCTATATGGTAGTGAATGCTGGACAATTTCCCAAGAGGTGAAGAGGAAACTTGAAGCAACAGAGATGTGGTTACACAGAAGGATGCTGAGAATATTATGTACAGAACCTGTGAGCAATAAGGGCGTTTTAAAGAAAATGGGAACAAAAAGGACAGTTGTACTTACAATCAGAAAGGAATATAGTGTTTCTGGGATGCATAATGAGGAAAGATAGCCTGGATAATTTGACACTCACAAAGTATATAGAAGGTCATGAAGAAATCAGAGAGTAAACTTCCCGACAAGCTTGTGTAAATGAATAGCAAAACAGGGTGTGGAGGAGATAGTAAAAAGATTACTATGAGCTATAAAGGATAGGATATTGTGGAGACCCATGATTGCCTATGGCTTGAGGGGACATGGCACATAAAAGAAGATTTACTATTCAGCAGAAGAAAGATTTAATGCAGTAGTTATTTTATTAAAGCAATAATTTCAGATTATTTAAAATGGTTTTAACTTGTTTTTTTTTTCAGTCAATTCAACAATTTGAGTTGACAGGAAGGAGTTGTCTTCAGTTTGTGTAAGCCCTTGCTGATTCGTAAAAATCACATGCGTTTGGCAACATTCTTCCTTCTTACAGTTTTAGATGTGAAATAGGTGAATGAATAAATAAACTGAAAGAGGAAATGAAACAAAGGAAAAACTGTAAATAAAGGGATGAAACTGCAGGGAAGAATAACAAAATAAATTATAAACTAATACCAAAATGAAAACTAAAAAGATATATGCAAGAAATAAAGAAAACATATTCAAAGATGCATTAGAAAAATGAATTAGATAAATCTTCTTTGATAAAACACAAAAAATGCTAGTAAAATCACTTGATTTGTCAGTGTTTTTGCTCCTCCTCCTCCATGCTTGTCAGTTGAAACAAAAAATGTTGCCCGCATTTTTTTTATTACAACATTGTCACTTTTCATAAATTGAAGCTTAAAGTTGCTTTCTACAAAGAAAAAAAAAAAAGTAAAAATAATTGTTTCACTTTGATTGCAAACAAAAGAGTTGCAAAGATGATTTTTCACTGAACTGTTAAAATGACTAAGACTGAACTACCAGGTCACCAGGTCTTTCCTATTTTATATGTATTCAATTTTACCTCATTAAATTTGAAAATTGATCTTATCTTGTAAATTCAGTTATCAATAAAAAGCTGTAAATAATAATGATTGATTGACCCAATTACTTTGAACAGCATCAAAACTCAGAGAGGAAGCATGTTTATTGTTCTGAGAAATGAATTTTACAAAGCTTTTATAAAGTATCAGTAGATGAATCAAAGATTTGGAAATGGGAAATGATTTAAACAACTATGACAAAAATTTGGTTGATTTTGCAGTGTTTTACAATGGACAACTTTAAAAAGTTTAAAAGTAGGAACATAAAAAATATTCAATCAAATTCACTTGGATGAATTTCAGTTTAATAGTATGGAATTCATTTGGAATTTATTTTTAAAAAGGCCTATATTTTCATATAACAGAAAAGAAAAGGAGAATTTTTTTATGAAATACATACATACATACATACATACATACATATATATGTCTGATCGAATAAATTACAGAGATTATGTCTGCTAATTTTTAACAAAATTCATTCATGCTCATGAATATGAATGAATTTTATTAAAAATTAGCAGACATAATCTCTGTAATTTATTCAATCAGACATGTCTAAAAAAGCGAATTTGCTGCCTAAATATGTATATATAAAAGTGAACATTCATTGAGGTAAACACCCAGTGGCAACAGTCTGTTTCATGCTTAAATGCACTCACCAGGTGTAGGAATCTGCAAAAATATTGGTCTTAATGTGGTTTTATATATATATATATATATATATATATATATATATATATATATATCCTGGTTTGTATTTGCCAGTGATTTTTTCAAACTTCATGAATTATATATATATATATATATATATATATATTTGAATTAATTAAGCTGCTATCCATTACATCACATCATTATTATTATTATTTTGATTAATTAAAATAATAATAATAATAATGGATATTAGCTCAGAATGGAAAATCTGTGATTCAAGTTCAAATTCCAGTCAAGTTCATTCACTTAGTCACAGATACCTTTGGGAAATGTATGAACCCATCTCTTCTTCCCACAGCTATGGCTTAAATAGCAGGACAGAGTGGGTTCTTTAGATTTGGATAGCAACCAGTCTAAGAGACACACAACTCAGAATTCAAAAACTGAGGTGGGCGATTTGGCCCACTATGAGCACTAGTCACTTTGTATTCCATTCTTATAAAAAAAATATGGATGATTTCACCACTATAATCAAATCATATGTGCAGGTAGTCTGACTTTTCCATTTTAGGGGCTGAAATATAGGACCCTCATCCATTGAAAATAACACGAGAGTCCACCATATATATGCTCTATTTTGAGGGTGGACATAGTTTGATGATTTTGTTGTTTTGGTGTTATGGTATATAGGGTATAGGAATTTGTGAAATAATTGGCTTTAATGGGATTCTTGTTTTGTGTTTTTTTTTTTAATTTTTTCAGAGATATATTCTGGTTTGTATTTGCCAGTAGTAATTTCTTTCTCTCTCTCTATTCAAAAGTTTGAGGCCAATTTGATAATTTTATAAATTAACTGAAAAAGTGTTTGTTTTGTACTTTAAATGAGAGAAAACTATTATACATTATTTTTTATTAAACATTTTATTATAATAAAAAGTAAAAAAGCATTTTATGATTAAATTTTGCTCATGTCAAAATATCCTCCTTTAGGCTTGATTACTGCACCACAAATCTTTGGCATTCATTGCAAAAGTTTCTTAAAATGTAAGTTTGATAATTGATTCCATTCTTTTTTCAATGACTCTAAGAACTCTTTTTCATTTGCTTTTCAGTCTTCTGTCAAGTTCATCCCATGCTAATTCTGGGGGTGGCTTCAAACTTTTGAACTTTAATGTATATACTAAGAATAAATATACATTTATTCCTCACCATGTATATATATATATATATAATTTTGTTCACTGGGGTAAACTGTTCTAGTTCCACATGCCATGTTTAATGGATGATAGCTATTAGTTATCCCCTGTTAATTCCCCTGGTTAATGGTTGCTGAAGACATTAGGTTTATAATACCCAGAAATTCATACATGGATGTCCTTTGGCAACAAAGATGAGGACAGTAGTTCAAATAATGTATATAGTGTACATAATACCTCATCTCAGAAATATAGACAGATATATATATATATATATATAATATAATATAATAGTGAACATTGAAGTCAACATTCAGAGCCGACAGACTGTTTTATGCTAAACGCAATCAGTGGCCTGATGATTGCGTTTAGCATGAAACAGTCTATCGCTTCTGAGTGTTGACTTCAATGTTCACTTTTATAATTACATACACTCTATCTCTGATATTGAGCACTTTATCCCATAAATATAGCATACCTTAAAACTATATTTCTTCATATATATATATATATATATATATATATATATATATATATATATATATATATATATATATGTGTGTGTGGCGGTTCGGTGAAAAAATTCTGAAAATTTTTACAAGTGATAAATATTTCATTATCAATCACAAATTGCTAAATATTGATAATCTATAAACGTTTTTGTGTGTTACTTACATCCTTTGTATCTTATAATTATCTGATGAACAAGGTTCATAAAACATATATATTAATACCAATCAGATTAACATTAGAATAATGATTAAAAAATCAATTTTAACCTGGACAGTGTTGGATCACCTTGCTAATGAAAAAGAATAGGAAAAAAATAAAGTTATGAAATAAACAAAATAGATTAATAAATATAGAAGTAATAAATAAAATGAAACTCAGAAATAAATAAATATTAAGGAAATAATCACATTTTTTTTCTTTACAGGAAAGGGATTTGGATAATGCTTAAATCTAATAAAAACATTTCTTTGTCACATTTTAAGGTTCTTGGGAATTCTGAGAGAAATTCTCCTGCTATTCACCCCACCCAGAAAATCATACACACTCACATACAAAAACAAAGATAAAATTTTAAAAAAAATAACTATAAAAAAAAACAAAAAAGAATTAAATTACTTAAGAAAATTGCTTTTGGTGTGTTTCTAATCCTGGATTTGTCTTTTTTTCTTTTTTTTTTTTACTTCATAATTCAGAAAGAAACAACTCTCTTGGCGGCCATTACTACCCCTCCTCCTCGTTTTGGTCTTAATACAATCTTCCTCTCATACACACATATACATATACTTGCTCTGTTCCATCAAATGTTTGATGTGTGAAGAAATAAACACAAAGAAACTAATATAAAATGACAACACCCCCTTGCGCCCCCTGCTGGATTTTTTTTTAATATAAATAAACACAAAAATTAATAGTACTTAGAAGATTACAACTTATATAAGGTTACAAGATTCCCTGACCCTTCTAAAACAAGGCCCTTTATCCGCCTACTGCTTCATTCCTGCCACCACTGACAACAATCCATAAAATGAACTCTGAAGAAGAAACATTCTTTTCTGAAAGTTCTTAGAGACAGCCATATGTCATTAATCATTGGATGAGTTATAGAGGTTGTAAGGGGTCATTCACAATTGCAGTGGCTTTAAAGGATGGCCAAAGGACTGATATAATTACATATAATAGAGATATTTATGTATAATATAGAATTATGCATATAATCTATATAATTATATACAATATATAATTCACCCTGAACCTTCAAGTATCTTACATGTCTAAAATTGCCCAAGATTCAACTAATTTTGTGAGGATATAAGATTACAGGGTAATAATAGTTTAGAAGTGGACACAGCAAATTCAAAATATTGAAGAAAATTAGCCTCAATATATTGATTCCTTTCTTATTAATACAAACATTATTTTTGGTAGGTATACATATTTGTTTTGCTACTCCTGCTTTTTTTTTTTTTTTTTTTTTATTTATTTAAACCAGGGGTTCTCAACCAGGGGTGAATTTCATGGTTTCAGTGGGGAGGGAAAAATCTTACTTTTTCTTGTATTTTATGTACAGAATTCTGTTTATTGAATTACAGTACCCTGGCATTCTATTGAATTTTTTGTTTATTGAAGTCTGCTTCAGTTTATATATTTAATAGTTACTTATGAATTACAACAAATTAATGTATGTGCATTCAAGTTTAAAAATCCATCAACATTTTCTATTGCTATTAAATTTGTAAAACTCCTCTACAAAAGATGATCCATGTAAAATTATATGTACTAATATAGTAAAATATGAAGATTTTCAATAATATATGCATATTAATTGCATGAAAAACTGATCTTAAAAACTTGCACAATGCTCAAGTATATACGATATGTGAGTGGGTCAATTTGTTTTTCAAATTTAATTTAAATTTTAGCTTCCTTCACTAAAACAAATTATTTATAAAGATTTAAATTTAAAATTTGAATTATTTATTTAAATTTTTTTTTTCAGAAAGAGCAAATAATGACATAATAATAAAATAATGACAAAGTGATGTTTTTGCATATTGATTCTCATAAACAAGGGGTTCTCAACTAAGTGGGGGTTTCAGGGGTTCAATGGGGGGAATCTTTAAATTTTTCTTGCTTTTTTTTATTTACAGAATTTTGTTTATTGAATTACAATACCCTGGAATTTTATTGAACTTTTTTGTTTATTGAAGTCTTCTGCAGTTTATTTATCTAATAATTAGTTATGAATTAAAACAAATTACTGTATGTGCATTAAAGTTTAAAAATCCATCAACATTTTCTGTTGCTATTAAATTTGTAAAACTCCTCTATATAATCCATGTAAATATATATGTACTAATATGGAAAAGAATGAAGATTTTCAATAATATATGGATATCATTTGAAATGTACCTTTTGAGTTGGACAATCTTAGAAAGTGGGGGTATGGTCTGGTTCCCCTTATGTTTGTCTCAAGGTTCTTGATAAGATCCAGAGACGGATATGCAATGTAACTGGCACAGATCTGGCATCTCGTCTGCAGTCGCTCTCTCACAGACGTACCGTCACCTCCCTCTGTCTTTTTTACAAATACTTTCATGGTAACTGCTCCGAGGAGCTGCTTTCACAAACTTCATGAATTTACGCGTTCTACTAGGCTGGCATCTCGCTCACACACTTTCACTGTCGAAACTGTTAAATGTAGCTGTCTCTTCTACTCCAATAGCTTCAGGTCTCACACCTCTCACCTGTAGAACTCCCTCCCCTCTTCCTGTTTCCCTGATAGTGATAATCTCCAACTATTCAAATGTAATGTCAATCGACGTCTCCAGATGCCCTGATCTATCCCCTATCCTTCTCTTCATCCTTTCTTCTATTACTCCTATTTGCTCTAGCACCAACTCTCTGTAACCCCTTGCGTGCTAGTGGCTTCCCGCCTTGCTTGGGGTGAAACGCTTAAGAAAAAATAAAAAAACAGCATTTTGACATGTGGTGAAAAGAGTGCATTGGTGGGCAAAAGAGTTTGAGAACCATGGGCTTAAACAGTGAAATAAATAATAACCAGCCTAGATTGAGAAACCCAACTAAAGATTGTGCCTCTGACAGGAATCAACCCTGTACCTCACTTTTTCAATCAGAGACTGTTACTATAGCCAAAATGTACCTTTAACAATTCAGACATAGAGGCTGCATTTATATATAGTAAGTTTTGAATTACCAATTTAAGGAATACATTTCTTGTTGGAATTTCTATGAATCTATATCTTTTAACTTTAGTTTTGTATCTGAAATATAATCAATAGTAATTTTTAAATGAATTTTTCATTTTTAATACAAAATATTGATTCATACTATATATGATTAAGTGACGAGGGTACCTCAAGGCCGTGTAATGGTTAGCTAGCTTGTCTTGCTAAAACAATTCCAACTGAGTAATGAGTTCAATCCTCACTAGCTGCCCCATACTTTCGGCCTTGTGCCACATCTAAGCTATGCTTGGAAAATCACTATATGATTAAGTGATTATTATTATTAATAATATTACCTAGATGATAAAATATAAAATTGGAAGGGATATTTTTTAAAGGGAAATGATTGTATTTTTAATTAAACTGTTTCTCTTTTACACACACATATTCATATCTATATGTGTGTGCAATAAAGAAATAAAGAAGCATTTTGTTTGTTTTGTTCCACTTATTTGCTTTTGCAAATGCATAAAATGTGAATAAAATGCTTAGCAATCAAGTAACTAGCTATGGAATTTGATCCTATTATTTTGTGGCTGGTCTGTCTGTTGTTTAAAATCAGAATCCTCTTTTTCTTCTTCTTCTTCTTTTGTCTGCACTCTGTTTACATTCTGCGCATAGTTTCTCAAAAGGAATCAAGTGTAGTAAAATAATTTCTATCTCACAGATTTATTATATCACTTGATCAAAAATTCATGATTAATACTTAAACCTCACACACACACACACACACATATCCAGGGTGGGTAAAAAGTTAAAAAGGGGTTTTAATATTTAATAACTCCTGTATTTTTTCTTTTAAAAAAATGAACAATTCCACAGTGCCATATAGACAATAATAGCATCCTAAATTTCCAGGAACTAGTTCTATAAAGGCAGGCAATTTTTAGGAACTTATTCTGCTTATTTTCTTTTCAATCTGAGAAGATTTATCAAAATAAAATATGTTAATCACAAAACCTCTTTCAGCCTCCTCAGAACTTACAGCAATGGTATTAATTATATTTTTAGGTCTTTGGATAGTTTTGGGTCAACATGTCTATAGTTATTTCTTTTTTGGACTTAATGAATGTAGAAATTGTCCAAATGATTGTATATTCTGAGTTCTTTCCTCTAATCTTATAGCCATTTTCAAGGATTAAGGCTTTGTTATTGTAAATGGTGTGTAAGTGCTATTGTAAATGATGTAAAACTAAAAAGGTAGAATATTCCTTATATATATATATATATATATATATATATATATATATATATATATATATATATATATATATATGATAATGGTATCCCAGATTTCAGGGACCAGTTCTATAAAGGCAGGCAATCATTAGGAATCTATTCTGCTTATTTTTTTCAATCTCAGAATGGAAAAAAATAACTATAGTATCAAAAAGAATTAAACCATTTTCATAATTTAACAG